CCTCCATTCCATTGTGCACCAAATCATCCACAACCTCATTGGCCACAAGTATAGCATCTTGGATTTGCCTTCCCTCCACAAAAGCATGTTGACATTCGCCCACCACCTCCCCCCAAAACTCTAGTAAATCTCGCTGCCAACACTTTTGCAATAAGTTTGTATATGCACCCAACTAAGCTAATGGGTCGGAAGTCTTGTATGTTCTTTGCACCATTCTTCTTTGCAATCAATACGAGGAAGATACAATTAAGTTCCCGCAAAAACTTACCATTATTACGCAAATAATGAAATAACATCATCACATCATCTTTGATCACATGCCAAAAGTCTTGGAGGAATCTCATATTGAAACCATTCGGTTCAGGGACTTTATCTCCATTACAAGGCATCAACACAGCATGCACTTCCTCCTCAGTAAACACCGCTTCCAAATTCTGCCTGCTTATACAGCATTCTTCTAAAGTCTAAGCCATCCCGTTTCGGTCTCAGCCTAAATTCCTCCATGTACACATCCTCAAAATAAATCTTGGCAGCTTCCCTCATCCGGTCATTGCCTCTATAAATCACTCTATTCACCCCCAACTCTTCAATGTAATTACATCTCCTCTTGTGACTTGCTAAAGCAGGAAAATACTTGGTATTTCTGTCACCCTCCAACAACCACTTCTCTCTTGACCTCTGCTTCCGATTCACTTCCTCCATCTTCGAATTTCTGGCCATCAGCAACTTGATCTCATCGCTACAAAGCTGATCAACAACCCCCAATCCCTCCCTGCCTTCCATATCATCCAACAACACCAATTCACTAAGCCAACAATCCATCTCTTCACCCTCCTTTTTGATTTCCTCCTTGGTCCAAGCTTTAATTTCATTTTTCAGCAATTTTAGTTTGCTTGCAACTCTGAAAGAAGCTGTCCCATCGAGACTGGAAGAGAATCATTTTTCCTCGACCAATTCTTTGAACTTCAGCACCTTCAACCACCTATTATCCAGTCGGAAAGGAACCGGCCCCCAATAGATTCCACCGAAAGTCAAACTGATAGGAAAATGATCAGAGATGGGGTGCTAAAATATACATTGAGTCACCCCTGCAAGCTGTAGCAAGAAATCAGGTGAGATGAGAAAACGATCAATCCTAGAACACGATGGATTAATCCTCTGGTTTGTCCATGTCTAAGAGCCCCCAATCAATGGGAGATCGGCAAGCTCTAACTCCTCCACAGCTTCTCTGAATTCCTCAGCCACCACCGCATTAAAGTTTCCTCCATTTCTTTCATCCCTCTCCATAAACATGTTAAAGTCCCCCCCACAATGCAATTCCCACTCCACTTCATTTTACAGGCTCTTAACTCATTCTATGGTAAATCCCTCTCACCACTATTTACCCTGCAGTACACCCCAGAAAAAACCCACTATTCCCCTCCCCTGGTGCACTTGAACTTCCTCGAAATACAAGTTTTCCCATACCACACGTCCATGCACTACAATCGATTCTCATTCCATATCATCACAATTCCCCCAGCAGTACCTCTGGCAGGCAAGAAGTGGTACCCAATATTCTGCGTTTTCCACAGACTTTTCACCAATGGCATCGCATGCATCCACTTTGGATTCCTGAAGGCACACAAGATCTGCCTTCCATCTCCCCAGGCATCCCTTGATGACAGTCCTCTTATTCCTGTCATTAATCCCACTCACATTCCACAAAATAATCTTGTCTATCATTACACAGTATTCATCTCCCTATCTCCTCCTCCTTCCTTCAATTTCTTCCTTCCCTCATAGTTGATCGACGACTCCGGTCTTTTCAGTTCTCTCAACATACCCGATCCACCAGATTTCCTCCCTTTAGGGACATTCTCTTCCTTCCTTTTCTTCGTCATTCACCTTTTGTAAATTTCAGTAAAGAAAAAGAGTACCTGGCTTTCCATGCCATCTAGGGACACTCATCATCTTGTTGAATTTTTGAATATTTTGTAGAACCCACAGAGTATCCATCATCCACATCACAGTCCACTTCCTCTTTCTGGGTATGGAACAAAACTGCTCTCCCTGCTCAGTTAACATCACCGCATCTAAAGTTTGGACGTCCTCCTCAATCTGAACCAAAGCTTGGGAGCTAACAGTAAAGAAAACCTCGCCTGCGTCACTTTCCCTATACCCATTTGCTTCCACTTCCTTCTCTCCTCCGTAAAGGTCACATTTCATCTCAGTTCTGTTTTTGTCGAACATTCCAGCAGGAATCAGTTCCTCCCCATTTCTGCTATCCTCTTCTTTTCCTTCATCCTCGTCGGCCACCACCCTCACATCGATATTTCCACTCTCTTCTGGACCACACTTAGGTGGAGAGCAGCTAACCATTTTCACACTCGAAGGCTCACCATCAGTGTGTGTGTGTGTATATATATATAACTTCTTGGCTTTATGAAGGTCACTATGATGACATCTGAAGTACTTAGGATAGATTTTTTGATAGAAATGTGGCTTGTTGAAAACTTTTTTATTCTAATTTTGTAAAATATTTCTGCATTATCTAGGGAAACTTGAAAAGGAGTATGAAATGATATTGAAGAGGACTTTGCAGAGCATCTGCATTTTAACCGTTAATCCAAACACAACGACCTCAGTTATAGTACAGGTGAGTTGTTTTGTGTATGCATAATATATCTATATGTTAGAAACTTTGGCCTTTTTGGTACTTGAAGAATACTGAGGCATTATACTTTTGTTTGGCGTTCATACGTTTTGCATAATAGTTGCTAGCTTTTGGCTATTGTGTTCTGCAAATTAGATTATAGTTATACAGCTGTCCTTGTGCAGGTCTGACATTGAATTTTTTATATTTTGTGCAGGTTGTTCATGATGATGGTTCTGTATCCTTACAATGATTTATTTTGATATAATGCATTTAATCTAGCAAAGAGAGGTGAGAACATTGCAAACATCAGTTATTCAAATGTTTGCTTCCCAATTTTATGCTTCAATCTGCATGTGATATACATCTCGGGGAGCTTTGGTATATACTACCAGAATTATTAGGTATACAGAATCTGAGGTATGGCCACTAATTTTATTCTAAGTTTGTGTCAAGAATTCTCCTTTTGGTTCTTACCAGTGATATAGAACAACACTGTGTTTTCAATGCTATGCAATATGCACCCATTGCCTTGATTTATGCAATAGATGTGTCTGTTTCTCCCTTTCCTCATTCTTTATTAACCTTTTTTTTTCACTTCTAAGTACCAAGATACTAGAAATTCCTTGATTTAATCTTGTTTAGCTGCTTCCCTGTGCCATAAATGCAGCATGTGTTGCCCTTGTAGACGCCGGAATTCCTATGAAGCATATGGCCGGTACTGAATTAAGACTAAAGTTATATTTTTCTTGGCTCTATATGATAATAACTGTGTTTGCTGACTGCTTATATACTGGGTAGTACAGTGGCAACATGTTGTTGCTTGACAGAAAATGGCTTTGTCATACTGGATCCCACCAAATTGGAAGAGCAGGTTAGTTACATTTTCTTATTGTAGGTTCTTCAAACCTATCATCAAACAAATTCTTCTGGGACTAGCAGCTAAACCATGGATATGTCAAAAAATGTTAACTAGATTCATATGATTTATCCTCTAATTCATGTCCAAGAATGGGCTTATGCAGCAAATGAAGGCGTTTGCATATTTAGTGTTCCCAAACTCCATTCTCTCCATTCTTGGTAAAGGATCATTACTGGGAGAAGGTGAACCCCTGGAACATGGGCTCATCACATCTATTACCCATGGTGTTATGCCAGGTATTTTTCTGACTTGATTTTCTCATCCTTTCCTAAAATTTTCCTCTCCGTATCCCTTCATTCTTATATTTAAATACTTGTGATGGAGATTGGGATAGCCATTGAATTGGCTATATGTCATATGACATATATTGGACATGACTATATGAGAAATAACTTACTATTCTCTAATAGACTATATAAATTCTCTAACGCTTCTGCTCAAGCTGAAGCTTAGATAAGCTTTTCTTTGAGAGGAAAAAGGTAGGAGGATCAATAACAAGGCATGAATGGGGTGCTACCTAAGTACAAAAGAAACTTCACTAGTTTAGACTATAAACACAAAATATCAATGAGGTTCCCTAGTAATTCTTTATAGGTAAGAGAAACTTGTATATGGTGTAAACTTTTTACAGATAATTGAAATTGTAGCTTGACAGATTCCATGAACTGCTTTGGAACGACATTATTTTGCACTAGTCATCTCTTGAAACAAGTTGAACCTAAAACTTGCTTTCAACAAAAATATTTGAACAGCAGCTCAATTGAATAGCGATAGCTTGTCTAAGTATCAACTTGATACTTGTTACCAGCAGCTAGCGTGAACAACAATTACAAACCTTCCATGAAAAGCAACCTCAAACCTTAGCAACAACTTGTCACTAACTTCAACAACTGTCAAAAAATGATTCTTTTTAGGAAAAAAAAAACTCTTCTTTAAAGTAAGACAAGACTCCTGAATACCCATTGAGCAACAAGTTCTAATTCCCAACTTTATAGGACAACAAGTCCTCACTCTCTGATTTAAAAGCTTTAAGGTTCACAAAAGTAGGGCTGTTTAATATGTTATATTTACTTTTAGCCTATAAGTAGGTAAGACTTGTGAACTCATAAAGCTTTTAACTTCTCAAAGAATAAGTTAAAATTTTATTTGATTTAGTGTTTTTCTGGTTTTATTTATAAGTCTTTGAGAAGTGTCAAGAACGCATAGGAAAGGGGTGTGCAAACGTGCATAATTTTCAGGGTTGCATCAGGTGGTATGTTGGCAATGGGATGAGAACATGCTTTTGGAAGGACTCTTGGCTTGGGGAAGGAGCACTCAGAGATAAGTTTCCTCAGAATTTTGCAATTGCATGACACAGAGATATTTTAGTCTATGGTCTTTGCATAGACAATAAGGGGGTAAGGGAATGGGATGTGGAGGTAATAAGAAATCTCAACAGCTGAGAAGTTGATGATTTATGGAACTCTCCTGAGTTTACTTGCCTCTGTTTCCTTGACTGAGAGTGATGACCAACCAATTTGGAGCCTCAATGCCGCAGGGACTTTCATGGTTATGTCGTTTTATAATTACCTAACCAAAAATGACTTCATTTAGACCAAGTTTCCTGACCGGCAAATCTTGAAGATAAATGCACCTCTTAGAATCTTCTTCTTTGCTTGGGAGTCTGGTGGAAACTACATTCTCACTATTGATAAGTTAAGGAAAAGAGGTAAGATTATGATGAATGATTTTTTTCTATGTAAGAGGGCAGAGAAGACTTGTAATCATATTTTGCTTGTATGTTCAGTAGTGTATAATCTTATGGCTTCTTAGGGATTAGTTGGGTTATGCCTGGTACGGTTAAGGATGAGATCCGGGCTTAGAAGGACATTTATTGGGTGAAAAAGCATGTGCCCCTCATTCCCTTTGCTATCTTCTTGCTGTATGGAAAGAGAGAAATATGAGAGTTTTGAAGAGGTGGAGGAGAATATAGATAGGAGTAGAAAAAGATGGTTTCAGGCCCGGGTGTTTTAGCTATGGGTCATCCTATATCTTCTTTGGAGGATTTAGGGGATCTTATTAACTTTTTAATTGACATGCAAAAATATTTGTATAACGGTTTAACACTTTATTGGTGCTTGTATCTAATGGCATATACAACATTTATATTTTAAAAAATATATATTTATAAGCTAGAGTGATGCTTATAAGTTGAGAATTTAACAAAATAGCTATTACTTAACTCATATTGAAGCAAGATCAACCTATCCATAATTGACGCAAGATCAGCCTATCCATAAATTGAAGGAAAGAAAAAGACAGAATGTTGATGGCTACATTTTTTGCGATTGAAGAAAAGCAAGGCTGTTTTTGTTTCTTACTTCTTTTTCTTTTTCATGGTTGATGGTTAGTAATGGCTAGGAGTAGTGGGGAAAAAAATACTAGGGTTCCATTTGCTACATGAAAATATTTCTAATTTTTGTTCCTTATGTTTTCATATATTTTGTACATTAAAGACGTGTTAATAACAAATAGAAGATGATGGTAGAAATGAAGTCTGAAAAATTTTTAAATATAATTTTTAGTATTTTATAGATTGTTTTTTTCATTTGACTTGATTACTTCACAAGCACATCATCCCCATACCTTCTTGAACATAAACATTTAAATTCAGAAAATAGAAACTAGAGATCTAGAGTGTAGGACTTTCTAAGTTTTGTAACCTATTTCTCTTATATAATTCTAAAACAATAGTGAAACGTTGTTCATGTTTTGTGGACATGCTTGTGAATAATAATAGAAAAATTAAGAATAGAATCCAATGAAATATGACATTGGCTATAATAAAACCTACTATACATGACTATATGGGGTTATAACTTTCCTTCTTAATGGACTATATAGGAAATGTTCTAGTTTCTGGCACAAATCATAAAGAACTGAAATTTTAGCTTTTAAATATAAAGTTGTATCCAACTTAACAAGAATGGTAGTGAAGTTAGTGAAGAATACTAGCTAGTTTTTCCATGCTTGATTTCTTCTCTCTTGACAAGATTTTGAGATGGTTAGACTTGTGTAAAACTAGGGCCAACTTGTAAATTTACTTGTGTATTCAGAATACAAACCTGTATTTTACTTCTGTGAAAATCCAGTCCCTGTATTTTAGCCATCAATTGTCTTACATAACACTTCTAGGATTAACCCCTTGTGCTTTGATCTTATTCAAATTCAAACCTTTTTGTTTTGTGAGGTTTAATATCTCTACTTTTGCTATTAGTCATTTTATGTAACACTATTAGGACATACGCGTGATTGAGTTTTTGAAAAGGTATACCAGTAATTGAGTTTTTGAAAACGTATACGTGTAAGTTTAAAGATAAATACATTTAGAAAAATCAAGAAATTGTTTATATAAAAAAACAAAGTTACAAACTCTCGGTATTAAACTCCCAAAAAAAAAGGGTTTGAATTCGAAGAAGTTCAAATCACAGAGGACAGGACTCTATTTTGGTCTAAAATGATTACCAATATGAAGTCTGCCAACTGGTTATTAGTGGTGCATAGCCCTTGAATCAAACAGTTTTGAGGTGACACTTCTAAACAAGAAAAAATCTTAAGATTAAAGAATATTCTCTTCTCCTGAATGCATGCTTCTCTTCGCTGAGGCTTCAATCTCCTCCTAACAAAGTTATTGATTAATTTGTGTTGTAGTGGACGACTATTTTTATTGTGTAGAGCGAGGGCAAGCTGCAAGTTCAAAGTTGTCTGCTTTTCTGAGGAGGAGCTTGCAGCAGGATCAATACCCAAGCGACTTATCGAAAACTGGTTGATCTGACCAGTCATGGTTGGAAATATCAACTTTTCGTTACTGTGGAGGTCCCCCCAGCCCGCTTTTCTTTTGGGTGTTTGTCAAAGTTGTCTCCAGATATTGCTAGACCTTGGTACTTGCCCTTGTTACTGGAGATCTGCAACCCCTGTTATAAGGTAGGTATTGCCAAAAACCTCTTAGAATATACTTTTTTTCCTTACAGAAGCAAACATGATAGTTCTGGGGTTTCTATAAACTTTGACTTTTCTTTTTCTTTCAGTCAATATTAGTTAATACAATATATTTCTAGTTTAAACACAATGACACGTTGGAATGGATTTAGTATAAGCATGTTTATAAATTTATTCTTATTTAATATAAGACAACAGAAGTTCTGTTTAAAATGATGAAAATGGAGTTTATACAGTATTTTATGTGGAATGAAATTATAGTTTGTGATATTGTTGTAATTCTACATTAAATTTCACATATATATATATATATATATTTTAATGTTTTCTTATCGAAAGATAAATTATAGTTTTTTAAAAAAAAAATAATTGAACCAAATATCAATTAATTGAAATTAGTTACTTATTAATATGTTACAAACATAACCTTGGTATATTTTTGTAGTCTTATGAGCTTTGTCACAACAGCTCGGCGTGGTTGGTCATGAGTGTGACCGTAAGTTTAGATTAATGAATCAGAAAGTGACTCAAATTTTCAAAGTTATGTACTTTATGTCTTTTAAAGATAATTAACGTGGGTAATTGATTATTAGATATCATTATTACTATATCTTTTTGTTTTGAAAAGATAATAATTTAACCCTTTTATGAATTAAAATATTATTTTTCAATTGTTTATTTATATATTATATATAGGCTGTGAGAGTGATGTGCGCAGCAAACTTAAATTTGAATTTTGCATGATTAGGTTATGAGTGAAATGTATAGTAAAATTCAACTTAATTTAAATTTCACATAAGCTGCAAATGGGATGGACTTTAAGACTCCGAACTTAATTTCGGATTTGCATGAGTATCTTGTGAGTGAGATGCATAGTAAAATTCAACCCACTTTAGATTTTGTATGATTAGGCTATGAGTGAAGTACATAGCAAAATGCAACTCAATTTCAATTTCACATAAGTAGGTTGTGAGTAAGACTCCACTCACTTCAAATTTTGTATTATTAGGCTATGAGTGAAATGCATAGTAAAATTAAACTCAATTTCAATTTTTTATGAACAGGTGATGAGTGAGAAATGTAGTAAAATTTATATGAAATTTCATTTTATACGAGTAGACTATGAGTGAGATTGAGAACAAATCCAATTCACTTTCAATTTCACATGAGTAATGTACAACTAAATTTATATTAATTTCAATTTCTCATGAACTGACTATAAGTGAGATACATAGCAAAACTCAATTAGTTCCCATTTTATATAAATAGGTTGTGAGATATATGCACAACCGAAATCTAAATTAATTCCAATTTGGCATGAATAGGCAGTGAACTGTATATTAAAGCTATAACACCCTAAGTCCAGAATTTAACTTCGGGATCACAAAATTTATTTTCATAATAATTTTAAAATTGTTAATTTTAATTTTTTTTGAAGAAATATACATTTTGAATATATTTGAAAACAATTTTAAAATAGAGGTAAAACTGAAAATAAGGAATAACTCATTCGAAATGAAAATTTGAAAACTCGAACCAAAGTGCAAAAATAAAAAAAAATTGGCTACGTAAGACAGCCACGTCAGTAGCATGTCCAGTCGTCGTGTGCCACATGGTAAACACACCAATACTCATTCCACGCGGGAGGCCATGCATGCAATCCGCGTGCCAATAAATCCAACGACCCGAATTCACTCCCGCGCGCACGAACGACGAGATCCATTTCTCCATTAGGCGCGATTGAATGGCCCACTTGTTTTCAATCGGACGATCCTGATTTGCTTTTCAAATAGGTGAGATCCAACGGTCGAGATTGGCCCATACGGGCTTAAACGGATGACCCAGATCGAAAGCATAGAACTATTTAAACCTCTCTACCCAAATTCTCCAAAAACCTAGCTGCCAAGGATCACTAGAGAGGAAGAAGAAGGGCGGCCAAAAAGCGAACTCGTAGCTAAAAAAGAAGACCGGCTACCGTCGTCGCCGCACTAGAAACCTAAATTGATGTTGGTAAGTGAATTGTTCTCCCGTTTGTTCCGTTTTTCCATTCTAAACTACCCAAAATCCTTATCGACATCGGAAAGTCCGAGAGAAAGATAAAAACGAATGATGAAGCTCGGCTGAGTCGCTGCACTCGAAACCGAAAAACTCTTCTGGTGAGCCCGAATCCTTTTTCCATTCACTTTTGTTTCTTGACCATAGGTTATCTAACATATTTTCAGTGTAGGGTAACCAAAGGAGGATCGCAATTGCGAGGAAGAAACGACAGAGCTGTTGCATCGAAAAACTAGAATTGCTAGTAAGTTTCGATTTTCCTCCTTTTTCCACCAACATAAGCCACATAACCCCGAATTATGTAGGTTTTTACCTAGAATTGGTCGAAACCGACCTGACCAAGCTGTCATAGAAGGCGGAGCGGGCAGCTGACCACGCGGTGCCGTCGTGTCGGCACCTTAAACTGGCCCTTAGTGAGAATTTTGACCCTTTTTGGCCTTTTTTGCATATTCCCGTAATATTTGACGTATGTTTTGATTTTAGTAAAAAAATTCAAAAAATTCAAGAACCGGGAACTATCAAGAAGCGTAGTAGAAAAGTTAGTATTTCGAACACCCACCTGAGGTAAAAATCCCTCACCATTTTTTCCTGTTATGGCTAAATTGAAGCTAAACTAATGATAAACGAAAATTTTAGTTAATCTGCGGTCCCTTAATTAATTAAGTACAAGTGACTAATAGAGCAAGTAACTGGTCAATCTATACTTATTTCGAGTTTTAATTGCAGTATTTATTTCTTTAATCGTTTATTTTACTTATCTATTCACTATTCTGCTTACTGTAATTTATTCACTTTAAATATATGGCTAATGTGGTAAGGTTCCTCAATCTATGTTGTCCGGCCACTATATTGTGTGTATAACATGTTTTTTTTTTTTGGTTTGATGCATCCTTAATTCATGTATCTATCTTAAGAATATGCGTCCGTATGATTGTGATGTACGGGCCCCTTAGGGCTGAGTAGTAGACAATGGAGAATATATACATGAACAATAGTGTTTGATAAACAGGGCTTACCAGGTGCCCAGGAAAAGAGTATACAGACTTGGTGCATAAGATAAATCCTACCGTGGACGTTACCCTCAGTCAAACAAGACTGAAAAGTTCCACATCGGAAGGGGTTATGAATTATTTTGATTATGCTTATACCGGACAGGGTATTGAGGCGATAGTATATTTGACGCCCATTTTGCGAATGGAGTATATGAACGACTGATTGATTATTAGAATGAATGTTTGATCCACGTGTAGTGGGGACCCCTATGGACCCCCAGCGATACCGGTAGGTAAGTGAAAATGATAAAAGTTAATTACTGTTGGTCTTTTAGAATGCATAGTGTGAAATACTATTCCGATTCTTATCTTCATAAATGACATTTAGGAACTTACAAGTGAGTTAAGAAAACAACATTTTCAGTTAAATGAGTTTATTTAAAAATGAGCTCCATTGGTTGTTTATGATTACTACAAATCTTTAATTTTTCATATTGGTGGTAAAGTGTCAATATTCTCACTAAACTCGTTAGCTCACCCTTTTATTATTAACCATTTTAGATCAGGATGATCAAGACTCGGATCCTGAACAGTAAGAAAATTAGCAACAAGGTTACCTCTTGTTTCCCTAATTGCACAGCGGATGTTGATTATATAGGTTTTTCGAATTATATTTTTCTATCTTTTAATTTTCTTAAGGGACATTTCCGTAGCCTCATTAGGCATTTTAATTAAATTATGCAAGGAATATAACCCTAAATCCTACATTACTTCCACAGAACTGATAAATTTTAAGATTATTTATCTAATTATTTTTGGGCTTTTATAGTTAGTATCAGAGCTGCATTCCTTAGAACCATTCATTGCACATAAAATTAGAATAATTCAATATAACCCAAATCTTAAAATTTTGTTGTAAAATATAGGTACAATGACATGAGGAGATAAAGACCCCCGCTAAATAGGGCAGCCCGGGAGGGATCACTTCAGGAGAATGTCGATCGGCTCTTCGAGATGCTGGTAATGCTCATCTCTGCCTAGCAGGCTAGGGAGGAGAAAAAGGAGTTGCTTGATCCCCCTCCACCACCGCCACAGTATGAGCCACCTCCACATCGAGAGGATCCAGTGCCACCACAATACAACCTTATTCCTCCACCGTATCATTCGGTACCGCCACAGTATAATTTGGTGCCCCCACCATATAATCAGGTGCCGTCACAGGGCCACCCGGTCCCTCCCCTGCATAATTTAGTTCCCCTTCAGCAAGACCTTGCTCCAGCCGTGATGGACGCAAACTACATCGAGAGGTACAAAAGACTTAATCCATATACTTTTGCAGGGGTATCCATTTTTGAACAAGCTGAATACTGGTTAGCAGAGACAGAGAAGACCTTCGCAACCCTTAGAGTAATTCCCGAATATAAGATTATTCTTACCACTTACATAATCGTGGGTGAGGCAAGGCGTTGGTGGCAACTGAAGCAGGCTACTCTATCCACTCCAGTCACTTGAGAATAGTTCCTGACAGTCTTCAATACTGAGTACCTTTCAGAACACCTCCGACAGCTGAAGGAGATGAAGTTTGTACACCTGGTCCAGGAGGATTTATTAGTATCAGAGTATGCTCGAAAATTCCTTAAGTTAGGTTGATATTCTCCTGAGAGCATGACAGACGAAGGCAAAAAGATAAGAAGGTTTGAATGGGGTTTTTATCCTGAAATCAGATAGTAATTGTATGTGTTCGAGCTCAGCACTTACTCAGTAGTTTTGACTAATGCATATTTGATAGAAAAAAACCTCCGCATTTTTTCTATAGCAGTGGGCAACTTCAGGCCCCTGGTTCCACTTTGCATACTAGCACCTACTACACTGAACCAGCAGAACAAGAGACCAAAATCTGCAACTCAAGCTCTTTTTCAGGCCCCGGTAATAGGATGCAACAAGATTTGCCAGCACTGTGGCAAGGATCATGGATACTGACCTTACTATCGTCTCAACAAAATCTGCTGCATATACGGAAGTGCCCAACACTACGCGAGAGAATGTCCGCGGAATCAAAATCAGCCAAGACCCGCAATCAAGGACATAGTCTGTACACTCACAAAATAGGATGCTGAAGCCAA